ATCTGTTTGCATGTATGTGAAGTGAAGAAGAAATTGAGTCTTCTGCATTATTCACAAAAAATAAAAAAAAATAAAAAGAAACACTGCGCAACAAAATTTTCACCATTCCACGTGTCACAGAACATAAACCTCTCAAAAGTTTTCTTCATAAGTTCAAGAAATTCATCAGCCCAAGCACCACCACTGACATTGACTTTTGCAATTGGTTAACAGGGACACCCACTCTTCAGCTCATACCTAAACCCGCCAAGCACTGAAACAAGGCATTTGGGAATACCCGTATTTCTGAATTTTTGTTGTTGCCCGTGTTTTGCCTTTGCTCTGTTTCGAATTCAACGCAACCATCCACCAAGAGGTCAATAAGACACTACCCCCACGGCCCCGTCTAGGGGGCCACGTGGATGAGCACATACATAAATAAAATAGGCTGCTTGTTACGTTAGAGCAGCTGCGTCTAGTCTTTTCGGTGAGCTGTGTTTGAAGCTGAAGGTCAGGTTAAAAAAAAAAAATAATAATAATTATAATAAATAATTAAAAAAAAAAGCTGAAGGTCAGGTTACAACTCCTGCAGGATGCGAAGTTCCTCTGGACTTGGGCCAAATGTTTTTGTGCACAGAATTTGATTTCCTTTCCCCCCCCCTCCCAGTTTCATGGAAAAGGGCGCTAAACTGGAAGGGCCCAGCTAATTCCGAATGTTTTGTTCTTGTCATCTACTTGTCTGGATTCGAACTTAGATCCGTACTTGAGCAGGTTGCCAGTGTTCCGGCTGAGCTATAGTCCCGTTGGTCTGTTTGTTGAAGACATGGCGACTAATGTTTTGGCATGCAATGAAAATTACGAAAACCCTGAAAAAACTGTCAAGGAAGAATTTTGCACTATAACACTTCTTTTCTAGGGAGATTCTCATGCCCGGCAGGTCCTGCCTGGCCGGGCACCAGCACGTGACGCCCGGGGGGTATGACGCCTGGGGTGCCTGAGTGTGCAAAAACAGAAAAGATAAAGGACCCCAAATCCGGGCTCGCTGGATTTTTTGAAAGTTGGGTGTCAAAGTTGGGGGCGGGGCACCGGCAGGGGGGGGGGAGGGGGGAGTATATATTGGTTTGAAAGGGGCTACAGGGGTTTAAAGGGGGATGACCCTTGGCCAAAACTCGTTTATATTTTATTTTATTTTATTTTATTTTTTGCTTGCCGTGGATGTGAAACTGGCTCATTTTTTGTTTTGCTTGCCGCTGTTATTTCTTTTTTATGTCCGATTCTGTGAAGAATTATAATCTGACCTTTGGCCATAACTCGTTTATATTTCTTTTTTCTTTTTTTTTTTTATGCTTCCCGGGGATGTGAAACTGTTTCATTGTTGAATTGACTCGAGTGTTTTCGAACCGGAATTGTTTTTTTTTCTTTTTGTTTGTGCACCGTGACTCCCTGGAATCCTGCCCGGGGGTCATGCCCGGACGGGCATCCGGATCTGTACCCGGGCAGAAATTGGGTGCCCGGGCGCCAGAAAATAACATCCTAGCTTTTTTTTTCCTTTTTTTTTTTTTCTTCGGTAAAACGGCTGCGGCCTTCACATACCATCCATTGAACTGACCAGCCCCAAACAATTTAGAACTACTTTAAACTTTTCATCTGATAGTCTATATCTGGATTCCCGCTTGGGTCTGTCTTCCAACTGAAATAGGCCCATGGGTACTAAACTCATTTTTAACACATGTCCCCCCGCCCCCCCCCCCCCCCCCCCCAGTCTAAGGCAACATCCTCATTCCTTTTGTGAAAGGTTCTTTTGACATTTTTTTGCCCTTTCGTTAACTCGATGTCCGCTCGATTCAGTCGCATTCAACAATACGTGTGGGAGTTCAGGTGTTCATTAGCCACTTCAGGGGTTCATTAGCCACCAGGGTGTGATCCATGGTCGTCTGACTGCAGCTGCTGTGTTGTGAAGCAGGGCATGTATGAATAAAGTGTAAGAGCTGGCATCGAGAAACAAACACATTAGTACTTATACACCAGCCGTCAACCCACACATCGGACGCGGGGCCCTCACCGCAACCTCAGGAGCCTGGAAACGCAAACAAAGACCATTGATGAAATTAATCAGCCGCCACCTGGCCCCACCCAGCCCCCGAAAGTTGCGGCCACAAACGAGCCGCATACGTGTTTTCCTGCAGTGGTGGTTCCAGGTTCTGACAAAAAGGTACACACATACTTACACGAAAGCAGACAAATAGATCGTATAATACGGCAACCTTCCCCAACAGAGACTTGTTTGACAGACGAACGCCACCTTCGTTTCCAACCCAGCGCTCACTTTTTTCACAGTACCCAGCGCCTTAACGTCAATATCACTGACAGATAACACTCTCCACGAAAGCAGCAACCATTCAAATCCCCAACCAATGGCTCTCCGAAGAGGACACCGGACTAAAAAAAAAGACTGACAAGATTACACACTTCACGAAAGCAGCAACCATTCAAATCCCCAACCAATGGCTCTCCCAAAGAGGACACCGGACTAAGAAAAAAGACTGACAAAACAAACCATCTAACAGCGAAGGCACCAGAGACACTCCGGAGATGCACTTCTAACAACGGCACAAGCACCACCCTTTCTCTAGACCTACTCACCCAGCTCCTCCTTCCAGAGGAGTTCGTCCTTCCAGAGGATAGATTACGCCGATTCTCAAAAGTCTCAGACACCACCAAATAATACAAAACTGCAGACATCGCACTATTCTCGAAATTCTAAGAACCCTCGAACACCACATTCTCATGCTGCGTACATAATCCTTGCACACATGCAAAGGCTGACTGGAATTCATTTGTAATATGCATGACACAAACTTGATTGTACGCGCTTCTCTCTCATTTCTCCTCTTTTTTTTGCAGCCAGACGAGCTTCTTCCTCGTAAACCTGATGCACACTTATGTATACGCCCTCCCCCTCCCCTCTCTCTCATTTCGGCTATATCGCTTCTCTAATCTTGCCTAGTTTTGCTACTGACCTGGGAGGTGCCTCAGACAACTACCTTAGTTGGCTACACTATGCCTCAGGTAGGCATGCAGACTGACAATGACGATACAATTACAGACATCCTTCCTCGGCCATGGCGTGGGAGACTATCGACCCTGTGCAACCGAGGGAGAACCATTAACGCAGCGCTCTTCCGATTGACGAGGCCAAAGTTATGAACCTAGTGATGGTAGTGTTCGTCACAAGTTCACCGAAACTAAAGAAACAGAAAAAGCTCTGTGACTGAGCGAGGAGGACGACAACCATACACATCAAAAAAGGAAGAAGATACGACAACAAAGGCACACTTTGGAGCCACAGGCTTGACATGTCCACTCACAACGTACAGGCTCGACTACACCAAACTACGTACCTTTTCTCAAACACTCAGAAAAGCCAAACCCAGACGGAAAGGGAAAAAAAAAAAGAGGAGATGATGTCAATTTTACGGATCGTTCAGCTTCACCTACTCCTGAATCTCACATTCTGCACAACGAAGTTCACCCTAGCGCTCCTTCACAACAACCCCTAGCCCAAACACACACACACACACACACATTCTCAGATATACAAAGGCTCAAAGTATCTACGTTTACGTGTCCAAAACACCTTTAAACAAAAACCCTGCTCCCACTCGTCATGAACTAAATCATCTAACCAAAGAACCGAAGACGGGGGAGTGTCTTCAATCTCAACTCTCTTCAGTGAACTATAGTTTTCAGCACTTAAAACTTCACCGAAAAGCGTGGTTCAATTCACTACACTCAACCAAATCAAAAAGCACACAGCGTTCGCAAGCGGATAAGAAGATCGAATCATTCTTCTGGGAAACACAACCACATAGACAACCCGGATAAGAAGATCGAATCATTCCTGAAGATCTCACAAGAGGCTTCTAACATAACCGCACAGAAGACTTAACTTGTGCCTGATTTCCGGAAGACTCCTTTGGCCCAACTAAAAATCATCAACCTGCAGGACTTCATTTGGACAATGTTCACTGTCAATGTGTGATCGGATTCGATTGGTTACTACCAACTACTGAGAAACAAGAGGTGAGCACACCAACAAGCTATAACAAAACGGAAGTAGACTACCACATGATGTTCATGACCACATTCTATCCGTCACTGCCTCTCTCTCTCTCTCCCACTGAGGAAATCATCGCTTCTTTCTCCCTCTGTGGAAAAGAAGGCTTCAACGCGACGTTCATTCTCTCCCCCTCTCTCTCTCTCTCTCTCCCTCCCCTCTCTCTCTCTCAGGAAAGAAGAAGACTATCACATGATGTTCATCGTTTCTCTCTACCTCTAAGGAAAGAAGGCTCTCACATGATGTTCATGCTCGCTCTCTCTCTCTCTCTCTCTCTCTCTCTCTCTCTCTCTCTCTCTCTCTCACACACACACACACACACACAAAACACACACACACACACCCCTTCCAGGGTCATTGAACACATGCAAATCCCCATTGAGCTTGACATTTTTCATAGCAACTCTAACATTGCACAGATCAGATACAAGACTGTTCACCACCAGCAACCCCGTCGTTACCATACACCATGCAAATCATCATTGATCCTAACATTGCTCAGACCCCCTTATCATGTCTTCTGTGGGGAGGACTCAAACAGGTAGAAAATTCCTACTACCATACTTCACCACCATATCAAGCACATCACAGTATAAGATAACGCCGACAAATAAAACACAATACAGTGGCCTGCGTAAAGAGCATCGGTATTGCTGATCTACATGGGTATAACAAAAACAACACAAGGTATGACAAAGAATCCTGCAAAATTAATCCCCTCCTGGCCATGTTTCCACTTTGGGCGAAAGACAATATATAGAAATTCACAGGTCCTTGTGTCGTCACAATAGGCGCAAGGCAACAAGAGGCCACCCTAAGGAAAGCTGGCTGCAGATAAGCCTTCCCACCCCCCAGATGTGATAAACACAGGCAAAGCCGATGTACAGTTCACAGCACACATGTACGAGGCATGTGAGATTCATTACGAGTCAAAGGCCACATGCAGTTTCAGAGACAGCCCGAGTCCTACCTAGGCCACACATCTTCATCCCAATGGCAGCACAGATTCACAAAGTAGACAAACCAGATATACAGAAACAAGTTTTTTTTTACGCACATCCGAACAGCGAAACCACAACAAGACATATTGACGAGTGTTTTTTCTGTCACTGACAGCTCAGAGGATACCCCACTGACCTGCAGTGCGCAAGTCGGTGCCACTGCGGAAGACCCTCACAGTCATCCTCTCCCAGCAGCATTCCCTTACCTACAGACACGGTCCTTCGGCTGCTCCAGTCTACATCTTCTCATGCAACATCGGTACTTCGGAATAAAGTCAATAACATTTCCAGCATGCCGCAACAATCCACCTCTTGCACTCGCATACGATCGTTCACAATTTTATACGTTCCTCCGACCTCCTCCTCACACAATGGGGTATAAGGCAGCGCTCGAAGCATTCCCACTTTCCATCCACTGTTTAAAAGATATCCACAGTACGATTCCGTCCGCTTTTCGTCACCAAACCATCAGCGACCGTGACCTGCCGTGGGCCCCATAACAAACACTTCCGTCCAAACTCCAGCAAACTTCTCGAAGGCAGCAATGCACTCTGTTCCATTTTGCACTGAACCCCAGCCCTTTCTAGTGACATGCTCTGATGCATTGACACAGTGTGGTGTTCTGGACCTGCACTACATACCCCATACCCAAACGGATAGTGTCGCAGAAATATTATGACATCACTAGAAAACTACAAGACGTCAACATTTAGGACATAGAAGTCTCTGGCGTTCGAAAGATCTCATTCGAAAGTACCACGATCCCATTCGAAAGTACCACTTCTTTCAGATAGACTATCATGAAGATGTAGAGTGCTGTCTTGCTCGGTTATAGCTAACTCCACCCTATGCTCTGCCCTCAGCCTCAGCATCTTTTAGACAGATTTTCTGGACCTCCTTTTCAAGCTCTTTCAGATGAAGAAGAAAGCCACCCACGAAATATCGAGCGACTTAAACTGGCAGTACATGCCCCCAGCCTTACCGTAAAATCCTTCATCGCCAACGAAAACTTCTCGGGGCTCGGGGCTACCAGACCACAGCGGCAGGCTGCGCCGGCCGGAAGAGAAACAAAAGTGTGCTGATGGCAGTTCGGCAAAAAAAGCTTCGAAGGACAAACGGCCCCCATGTGTTGGTGGCATGAAGAATTCTTGCTAGAGAGGCAGGCATCCTCTTCAGGAACCCCTGATCACGGTACTGCTTGAGCAGTACTCTTCTGTCAAAAGTAGACAGCACAGGCGTACGCACGCACGTGCTTCATGAAACGTCAACGCACGACGGCAAGAAAAAACGTCATAAAGGTGACAAAGACGGCAGGCCAACGGGGAAGAAAATGAAATCACCAGTCCAAAAGAATTTTTACTCTGATTAGAAAACACAATTCGAATCCGCTCGTTGCAGAAGTCCGCTTGCAAACCATGCATGCAACCATGCACGCAAGAATACTACAAGTTAACACCGATGGACCTCGTAATCCAGCAAAATCCACCGTCGCAGTTGCTAACCGGAGGCCACCTGCATCTGGCAAAACGAGTTTACTCTGCTGAACCACACACCGTCGGACATCCTGTAAACGTGCCCATCATGGGAGGACTGCACTGCATTAACACAAGCAAATGCTCATCCCGATCACCACGCTATTTGCCTGTTTGCAATACGCCTTTCGGAACACAACATGCGGTGCCCTCGAAGGATGTGATTGTGCAAAGTGGCGGATCACTCGACAGCACATCTACTCCCTGAAGTGCCAGTCCTCTATATCCTGCTGTTGCTCTTTGAATGGCCCCAACCCCTTCCTCTAATGATCCTCTACTCCGACTTCCTGGACTAAGGACTTTTCCCTCTGGACAGGCTACGTCCTTGCGAGGGACTCCTGCTCCTACTCCTGCTCCCCCTTCTCCACCCTCCTCTCCCTCCGAAGTTGCCATCTTCCCCACTGCCAGAGAACCTATCTGCACTCAAGCTGCGGCTTCTTCCTCTCGTGTGCCTATGATCTCTTGGCCGTCCATACCCACCTCGCCCACCGCCACCCCTTTCGTATCCTGGGCTCTTGACGCCGGCCTGTGCACCAACATACCCAGCACCAGACCCATTACCAGTGCCAGACCCACCAACAGTCCCAGGTGCAGAACCTCGGTCATAGACTGGGCTACCCCTGCCTTTGTCATGATACGGCCCCCTCCTCCCAGCTCGCTCTCGGCTGAGGCTGCGGCTTCTTGCTCGGCCATAACTCGGGCTTCTGCTCCTGCCTCTACCATAGCTTGGACTTCTGCTCCTCGGTCGACCATAACTTGGGCTTACACTCCTTCCCCGACCATCATCAAACCTTCCTCTCCCATCATCGTTCCTTCCTCGCCAATCATCGGGCCTTCCTCGCCAATCGTCGTATCTTCCACGGCCACCATCAAATCTCCCTCCACCCCTCATGCCCCTGTCCCGACCACCAGACCTTTCCCCATACCTCTCACCGAAACGATCACCTCTACCTCCACCCCACCCCCTTCCGCGTCCATCCATGCTACCTCGGCCTCCAGACCTGTCCATATCACGGTCACCCCCCGAACCTCTCGCTCCGAAATCCCCTCTACCACCACCCATTACATCCCTCCCTCCACGCCCACCCCACCGTCCGCCACTGCCACCATCACCACCTGCCGACGCCCATCTGTTCGCCTTCGTTACTCCCCAATTTTGCGCTGCGATTTGCGCAAGCTCCGGAGGAACAGGTTGGCATGCACCCTCTAACACCTTAATGAGGTCCTTGGCATACTTCCCGTCGGTTTGTGCAGAGAAAAAGGTGTGCGCCAAGCCTGTCGCACCCGCCCTGCCTGTCCGTCCAATTCTGTGTACATAATCCTCGATTCCTGTAGGAAAGTCGTAGTTAATCACGGCACAGATATCTTTGATATCCAGACCACGAGCTGCCACGTCAGTGGCCACAAGGATCGGTGTCCGCCCACTCTTGAACTGTCCAAGCACGTAATCCCGCTCTTGTTGGGATTTATCACCATGAATGGGCGCTGCACCAAAGTCCTTGCACAGATTGTTGGATAGCTGATCACACATTCTCTTTGTACTGCAGAATATGATAATTTTTGCCCCACTTGGTTGTTGCCGAATCACCTGCTCAAGCCTACGCTGCTTATCATGTGGACCGATGACCTCAATGACCTGAGCAAACACAACAACAAAACCAGCCAAGGAAACCCTCGATATCACAAGCGTTCTAGTCTACAGCACATGGAATATAACACCTGTCAATTTTTCTTCATTCCGGGCACGTCTTTCCTATTTTTGCCATAAACAATCCATAGACTTCCTCTTCACCAGGAAACATGCTGAGTTACATAATTAAGCATATATATTGCTAGTCCTACAGAATGGAATACCCATAACTCACCCACAGTGTGACTGCCGTTCTCGACAGCATCACACAAATGTTCTGAGCTATCCAAGAAAACAAGTGCTTCCATTACGGAATTGAACGCAATTAAAAAGAAGACGAGTCAAACACACACAGGCAGGGCAAACAGGGGCATCATGGACACCTCCACCGAGAGAGTGCTCTCCACAAGCAGAAAAACGGGAGGGATGTTCCTCGGTACAGCTCCATGGATGCAGAACCAAGAGGAAGGGATGTAACACGGAGAAAAGCAACATTTACCCCACTGAAGTTGTAGGCTGATAATTTCCTACACAGCCTATGTGCTTCAGTGTGACGTAACCACATATAAATTCACTAGCTCAACTTCGAGTAAACATAAAAACAAGCATCATCTCAAGAAGGAATTCAATCTTTCACCTCTTTCTCTCTCTCACACACAAACACACACACCCCGACACACCACAACACGAAAACACGCATACATCAATAGAGAGGCTTGCCTACCCAAACTGCGGCTCTACTGCAAAGAGCGTCCTGGTTGTCCGAGCCCAGACACTTCAAAACAGGGAAAGCTTATCTCAAAATCACCCACCCACGGTTAGCACTTTCTGAAACCTCCCATCAAGTTGCACTAACACCATCTCGATACATGCCGGCCATCAGACCCACTGCACGGCGCATTTCTAGGCCCTGGCTGTTCATACAATCGACCACCCATTCCTAAGAAGCTTCCATGTAGACGGACATGACAACATGCAAATACGTGTGCACTGACTTAACTATCATCCTCATAGACGACACGAGAAGGGACATTCGTAAAGAGAAGAACGATCAGCCAAACACGGATGAAGGACGCCAATAAAAAATGTACCTGCGTTATAGACTTGTTTGCAACCAGCTCCTCGCTGTTCCCGATATTGACTTGCACTGCATTTGTCAGCAAATCGGAAGCGACTCTCCGGACTTCTTTGGGCCATGTTGCTGTAAAGAACAGGGTTTGTCTGGTCGGAGGAATCAGCTGTACAATTTTTCGAATCTGGGGCTCAAATCCCATATCCAGCATCCTGTCGGCTTCGTCGAGCACAAGGAAAGAGACCTGCTGAAGGTTGACCTTCCGCTGTTCCAAGAAATCATTCAAGCGTCCTGGTGTTGCAATGACCACATCAACACCTCTCTCAATCTCACGCAGCTGTGGTCCCTTCGCTGCTCCTCCATATACACACTGCAGTGATAGACGTCATTAACAACATATACTGCATTCCATTAGCATACCTTTCGATTCATCAAACAGAAGAAAAAAAAAAAGCTTTCAGTCCAATGTTCTCATTCAGGTGCACCTTCCCTTCCCTTAAAGCATGGCGGGATACAAACAGGCGCAGAGCAATTCCTATTAAATCACCAGTACATCTCGAGAATTCGAATGATCCTCTCCGGAAAGTCACGTGACTCCGGACAGGACCGGCCTGGGGCCGGGCATGATCTTTTTTTTGTTCAGGACTGGGCTTTGTGCCACCCCATGGCATGGTACAGTTTGTCTTTTCCTACTGGCCCTTTGAATGCCCTGTCCCAAGCCTCCAAATTTTTGGGAGAGGGTCAATCCGATTGTCAACTTGGCTGGGGCAATGTACTCCTGCTATAAGCTGACCTCTTGTTCGGAGTCCCAGCCTTATCTGGGCTCCGTTTACACAGTATTCCGCTGTGTCAAACACAAAAATCGATTGCTTCACCGAGGACACCAATCAGCCATTGTTCATGTCTGACAGTTTAAATTGCAACATATTCTGCACGCAAAGCAATTCAGTTATTGCGGAAATTCCAAGCATCCAGAAAACATGGTTCCCTCGTAGTGTGATAGTTCAACCCTTAATATGACGGCCAACTCCGTTTCCACCCCCTTTGCTCATCAGGAACTACGGTGGTCCCCACCACAACGGAAGCAAGTTCCCAAAGAAATCTAGGTGCAAGTTTGTGCACACACATGCACAAACACACATACAGGCATACACATGCCAAGGGGAGGGAAGGTAACATAGAGAGGAAGGAGGGAGAGAGGAAGGACAGGGTCAGGAGAAAGGAAGAAAGAAGAAAGTGAGTGCACGCACGCATGCACGTGCCAAGGGGAGGAAAGGAAGACAGCAGTGGGGCATGGAGTGTGTGCGTAGCCTCTGCCGATCCACACTTACTGTTGTCGTCAGCCGAGAAGATCTTCCGTATTTTGCAGCTTCAGTCTGAATCTGTGTTGCAAGCTCGCGAGTTGGAGCCAGCACCAGCATCAATGGTGCTCCCCTCATATTAGTACGCCTCTGAGCGATATGCATGAACCCAGGCAAAAGAAACCCGAGCGTCTTCCCAGATCCCGTCTTCGCAATCGCAACTACATCCCTGCCTTGGAGAGCAACAGGCCACGACTGAGCTTGAATTGGTGATGGTGATGAGAAGCCCGCTGACCTTATCTGGCATCAGACAGCAAAATACACCCTGTTAGAAACAACACTGCTCGCGAAGGAACACGACAACAATCAACCACCCCCCCACTGCACTCACTAATCTACACATCGACGGGCATTTAACATCTCAAGGCCATTCTAAGTCCTCCGCCCCCGTCACATACTCCGGCGCATTCAAAGACTCTCAACTCTTCCTCTTCTTCTGTTCATGCAAATGTCACCCACACGGTGCTCATGCAGAGCCATCTTTCACGACAAAACATCACGCTGGAAAACGAAAAGGTTACCTAGCCTGCCTCGAAATGCTAATATTGAAATTATCACGCTTGGTGACCTATTGCCTACAGATTGCAACAGATTCTTCCCAGGTACTTTCGTAGGCTTCTTGCCCTGACAATATCCGGACCCTAGAGACAGTAAGTCCCATGCCCATACACTTAGTGGCAAATTCGCAACAAAACACATTCGCAGGTTGTGTACACCAGAACAAATTATCCAATGCCTTTCATGCCAACTTGCGTTCCAGAGGGGCTATAGTTCCTCGATCATTCTAAACATTTGCACCTTGCAATAACCTGGTTCCCGGGAATCTTAGACCAAAGGCTCCCATGAAGATCTGCAGCATCTGGGGAACTAGACACCTTCACTTCTGATGCAAAGTGGGAGGCGATATTGTCGGCCACTCGGAGCTGGGAGCTGCAGCTCGGAGAATGGGCCTTGTGTAACCATTAGAACAACAAAAACCTGAAACCAGGCTGTTATCTAGCTAAAGCACACAGAATTCCTGCCATTGCAACTTATTGCAGATCCTCCAGACGAGCCCACCACATCAGAAACAGCGACATAACAACAATAAAGAGCTACAAAAACACCAAAACCATCAAGGACTTCCAACTCTCTCTCTCTCTCTCCCCCCAAACCCCCCGAACCCCCTTCCCCCCAGCTTGATACAAACTCTCTCTCCCCCGCCCCAACCCACCTTCCCCCCAACTTAATACAAACTCAGTAGACCATATTTTTCCCTTAAGAGCTACAATAATACCAAAATCATTAAGGACTTCAAACCTCTCTCTCTCTCTCTCTCTCTCTCTCTCTCTCCCCCCCCCCCCCCAAACCCCCCCTTCGCCCCAACTTAATACAAACTCAGTAAACCATATTTCCCTTTAGTACCCAATCAATCAAACAAGAACTCAAACCCAATCATCTTGAAACTCGAGAACAGACAGGCCCCAACTTCATCGTCATCAGACAGGCGCTCCCGCCAAAGGATAATGAGCTTGCTCCTGGGTAGGTGTCAAAGGACTCTCCCCCCCCCCCCCCAAACCCAGCTTCCCCCCAGCTTATAGAAACTCTCTCTCCCCCCCCAAACCCAGCTTCCCACCAACTTATTACAAACTCTCTCTACCCCCCGAAACCTAGCTTCTCCCCAACTTAATACAAACTCAGTAAACCATATTTCCCTTTAGTACCCAATCAATCAAACAAGAACTCAAACCCAATCATCTAGAAACTCGAGAACAGACAGGCCCCAACTTCATCGTCATCACACAGGCGCTCCCGTCAAAGGATAATGAGCTTGCTCCTGGGTAATTGTCAAAGGACTTCGCATCGAGGATTGACACAATTCCATGTCCTCACGATGACATGGGCACGACATGAGCATACATCCCACTCATCAACTCGAATCACTTTCGGACCAAGTGATTGTAACAAAAACATTCGTGCACAAAACGGTTTACCTCCTGCGCTCAAATCCTCACGTGAAAATTAGCAAACTTTCATTCATGACCTCGAATGACTTGAAAACTGCTACACACCGACTATAGCAGGAGCTTCTGGGACCTTGAGAATCAACCGGCCGTGCCTATACCTTCCACGGCAAGAAAATTGAAGAAACCCATCAAGCCCATCTACAATGTAGAGTGTTGGAATGTAAGTATTCGCATCGCAAGTGATAATTGTTTTCTTGACACCTCAGGGTGCAATCCTCAATTCGTCCACTAATGTAGAAGGAACACCGTGGTTGCTGCCTCTGCCCCCAGAGACTGCAGACGAGTCCAGAAGCATTTCTCATTTCAAAGGCAAGAACACGCTTCACTAAAGACGTCATCCGCTCAGTTCACTGTCCATGGACTGACCGACAAAGGAGTATGTAAGATCACACACTGCAGTGTAGAACATACTCAAAAGTGTGTCAAGCCTTTTCAGACAGGGTTGAAGGGCTTACCCACAACAGCAGAGATGCCGTGCAATCATGCGGTTTGCCCGTCGACCGGCTTCAGCTCGGTCTGCTTGGACCTTGATTGCCACCCGCATCTTCCTCATTCAGACTGGCTTAACAATCCGCAGCGCAACCTGACAGCAGCAATCCGACTCTGGATCAGTTTGCTGGTCACATCGTTCGGTTGCTTCTCGGGATCTACAGGGAAGAAACTGGGCACATGCCAGGCATGCAAATCAAGGCAGTCAGGCAGGCAGGCAGAACGGACAATCGCCGCCACGCATGGATGCACCATCCATCCACCTGACACGAAGATTTGTGTGTACGTGCTACTGCCATCCGTCACGGCCTCGGCTTAAGCAAAAGCTGTGCGCCAAAATGGACGTGTCACGTCGCCACAGCTCAACATGCGGAAGGTCCACGCTGGGTAACATTTTGCTACCTGCGATATCGCAATTTCATTTAGTCGATTTCTTTCATCACTTCGCAAACACATATATGTATTCCTATACTCGTCATCCTAGAGCTGCCATATTCAGCCAGCTCCGCTCTCTTTAACATCTCCCCCACGAGAATTGCATGGATACACAAGCTCAGTGAAAATGAAAATGAATTCACATCCGCAGCCAAGCAGTGATCACATTCTCTGGTATAAGAGCGCACAACATAGAACAACCAGCGTTAACAAGTGACCCTCCTAATATTGGGCCACATCCCCACCTTTATCCCCGATCCTACCCCCGCCATTGCCACCAAGTCCCATGCAGGCAGCCTAAAATATCCCCCGTGTTTGTGACATTCGAGTGACCCCCCTTACCTACTGCACATCCCTACCCCCGTACCACCCCATCCCTACCCCGGGACCCTCCAGAAAAATGCATACACTGACGAACCATCGTGCAGCTTGCATCAAAACCGACCACCACTGCCACTGCCGCCACAATCAGCAGAACGCCATGGAGGTCTTTCACACTCGTTCCCGTAGAGCTACCTTGGCCCCGCGAGAGTTCGGTCACTCCTTGGAACTTGAGACGACACTCCATCTGTCACTTGCCAGGAAACCCAGCAGGTGAAATTGTGTTACATCCACATCAACACAATTGTTCAACACCTGCATCTCGATGCAAATGGTTAAGAGAGAGCTCTTTATATGACCACACAAGTCTTATAGATCAGAGAAACAACATAGCTTTACAATACGTTATAACCAATAAGATGAACACGAGTGCTCTCATGCCAAAGAAACTTCACAGGATCAGTTCGTCATTTTCAGGCTTTTGTCCATACTGGGTTGAGGTCATTCTCCACGGAGATCGAGATCAATCTCTCAAAATCCAAATCCGTCACGGCTTTTCGTATACGTCAACACTGCAAGTATCAACAGCCAGCTTGATGATCCACTCTTCGCACAGGCACTGAAACTCGTCATCTCCGATCACATGCATCGGCCTGGCTTACGAACGGCCTCCCTCATCACTGCCAAGTCCAGCAATCATAAGAGAAATAAGCACCTAGACTCCCTTCCCTCGTCGACACAACAAAAGGTCAAAAACCTCCTGCCGAATCAGAAGCACACAACTCATCAACAGTCCCGATTCACGTTCAGCCGACCATGTGTAACGACAACCAAGGATCAACTACCCATAATAACCATCATGGGCGACGGGATACGTCACAGCCCATTAACACAAGAAGACCACAGGTCTCACATCAACCCAGATACTAATCTCAGATTCGGCACCCCGAAAACGTAAACATCCCTGCTGAGGACAATCGAGGGCTTCCCATAAGCGTAAAAAAGACGACAAATTCTTGTCAGGGATGGCAGACACATCTCCCCCAATACCCTACTACCGTGGCCACTACAGTAATTAGAACGCTTGTTGCCAGCCACAAACACCCCGGATACCAAAACCCCCCGTACGGTCAGGGAACGGAAAGCATTTGATTCCTGCTCCCCTAGGCCACCACCTCACACTCCATCCGATTTATCTGACACAAATACATACCCCACCTCAACCTACCTCTTAATACAAACCCTCATCGAGCGAACGCGGATTAGGCTCTAAATACCATCCAAGCAAATTAGAAAAGATTGGAAAGTCTTCCCAGAGAAGGTGATAGCCCTGTATATTTTGTCCAATGGTTTTCATTTCAAGAAATATACGCGCGCCGTGTTTGAATTCTGTGGGGGACCACCCTCGGTACACGTCGCCATAGGAACGAGGGACGGAAGAAACGTGACGGCCCGACAAGTAGTGTATTGCCACAAAAACCCTATCGTTAACAAGACTACGCAGCCTAATGGAAACTGTCCTGAAGACCCTCTGCATTCGCTGATGCTTCCACAGGTGGCATCTACTCCCCAGAGACCCTCCAGACAACCACGACAAATCGCATGGCCCACTCTTTTTAACACAAAGGGTGGCTTACAAATTCCACCTCCCACGTCCACACAAATATCCCGCAACACAATGCAGATTAAACCACAATCTACACAGGCACAGCCATCTCGTTTAGAAGACAGCCAAACGATGAAGTTGCGCAGCCATTTGTGTACGGCCTCGAATAGGCACTGCAGCTGTGTTCAACCGCTGCTGCATGCTCAGCCCGTCCTTTGGCACATGATGCACTGACAAACAAGATAGTGTCTGAGGGAGAAACGATTGAAAGACCGAGATGAATCACACGTACTAAGACCGTAGAGGTGACAAGGAAAGCAGCAGGGCAGGGAACAGATAAGTACAGCCACTTCCCAACTGCTGAGAACACTCGCTTGGTGAACATGATGAACACAGCAGGTAAACGGCTCACCTACTCGCAGATTCCACAAAAGAAGCAAGAGAGAGAAGCAAAGGAGTACGCAAAGAGAAGCGAAGGAGTACGCAAAGAGAGAGGTGCAAAAGGGGTACTACACAAGCCAAGGACATGGCGAGTATTTACATCAGGATAGTTAAGAGGACAACTAGTTTTCCAGAGACGGTCATGTCCACTGCTGCTGACAGAGGTGGACAACCACAGCACCTGCTATAGGGAACGAGGAAGGCCTCCTCCGCATCAGCATCGAATCAGATACGGCTAACCTCTCATCTGCCGCTCACCGAAGCGCACTCCCATTGTGAAAGGATTCCAAAGGACAGAGCAAGGAATCAACCAAACATGTTTCACAAACCAGTCTCACCTCATTCAAGATTTCAGGGCTGAAATTCGCAGCTTCAAACGTCAATAATGGCAATGGAACATTGTCACCCTGCAGATGTCGATCAACAGAAGAAAACTTCAGTGACAATTGCCACAATAGCACTCAAACAACAAGAACATCATCGAGACAAGGGAAGAGAATGGCGGAAAACACGAAAAACAAAACCCTCTAGACTAGCAGAGCAAGGAGTAAGGTACTTGTCTCCCCTATTCCCCCCACCAATTGCCACGACAGCACTCAAACAGCAAGAACATTACATCATCAAGAAAAGGGAAGAGCATCGGGGAACACAGGTCCAAAAACCCACTCCCGACAATAGCCTAAGATACGAGTTTGCCCACTCCTCCCCACCCCTCCCACAAACACACACACAGACATGCACAGAAATATTAACAACGCCGTTTGACCCGGCCAGCGAGACGAGGAATGCACCTCCCTCTCTCATTCGTTACCGCGTTCACCCGAATAGAACGCCCGGGGATTACCATTATATCTAGACTCGATGCTGCCTTAAATACATAAGGACCGGGCGGTCTACTAGGGTGGAGACGGTAATCGACATATGTTAAATCACATAAATCACAAAAACAGCCAGCAATCTTCTATTACACAGGTGAATCACACTCGCCATGCACAGTCAAAACCCAAAACATACGTTCATTTTTTCACTGTAAAGATACATACGGCCAACTAGACCCTAACTTGCAAAAGCAAAGGTGCTCGGACTTCAATCTTCGGCACGAATCCTTTCCAAAAAAGGGAAAAACACACAAAGTCGGCACGAATCCTTTCCAAAAAAGGGAAAAACACAGTCGGCACGAATCCTTTCCAAAAAATAAAAACACACAAAGTCGGCACGAATCCTTTCCACAAGAATCCCAAACACAGAACGAAGTCAAAATGACCAGTTAGGGTCTAGTTGGTTATGGGTTACTTGAATGACCTGGAACGACCTTCAGAGTGAAGATCAATGCCAATATGTTCCACTGAGACCACGTCTATGAAGGCCCCGCACCACCCACCCAAACAGGCACTTTCTCAGAGTGGAGATCGATACCCGATACCAATATGTTCCATTGAGACCACGTCTTTAACGGCCGCACCACCCACCCAAACAAGCACTTTCTCAGCGGTACTTGTTAGATGTTTAAGCATGTGTGAGCTGAAGAGAATCTTCAGCGACGACAGCACACTCCGCCCCTCCTGTTCCAATTCTACATAATCGTGTCGCTAACATCTTTCATCTTCTCTACCCCGTAGGTAATACTCGTTACCACGCTGTATTCCCATGATATGGCAACAAGCATGCTACGAGTACAAGTGCAGGGTCCAGTTGGCCGTAGGCATTCTTGTGGAAAGGATTCGTGCATGGAGTGAATATGTGCAAATTGCATGTTCTACACGAGGCTGTAATGCCAATATTCACCACATGCACAAAAGACAAAAAAAGTATGGCGGCGTATCTTTGCATGTTCAAGAGGAAGATTCATTCTCAATTCGCACATTTAATGACTAGCGGCGCGAGGTCTATTATCTCAACCGTAAAACAGAATGCCAGAAGCTGCTCACACCACAGACACATTTAAGTGTGCAACAAGCGGGAAGAGTTCACCGAAAAAAACGACCTGAAACCTTAGCAAACGCCGGATGTGCATTCCCATCATCAGCAGACACAAAGCATATGTGGGTCATATCACACGTCCCTGATCCCTCCAACAGGCACATTCCCATCACATCCGCATCGGACAATGTTGGGCAGCCAGAGGAACTCACCCTTTCACACAGGCCACGGTTCCACACTTCCTGTGCATGGCTTCAGCACAGGTTGACCGGTCCGTGTGCAAGGTTTCTCCTGCACAGGGTAACAGAACAGAATGTTGATGTTTCCATCTCATCATATCCCCCAAACAAACCGCAAACAAATGCCCTATCCCACCCACTTTCTTCCCCTGTTCGCCCACGCACATCGTCAGCAGATCACATTCCCTCCCAATTTTTCGATGCCAACCTCCCAAGGAACCTTCCTCCGAAGCTTTTACCCACCCACCCTCCCTCAGATTGCTTCCCCTCTTCCCCCCCCTTTCGGCCCCCCCCCAAAAACCCTTCCCCCCCCCATCCCCATGGCTGGGCCACAGCGTGGCCAGCCCATCCAGTTCATCAATTCAGAAGGGGTGTAGTTTGATGAGCAAGCGTTACGGTAACATACAACAACAGTGATTTCATGCTCTCTCCGATAAGCGAGTGCGTCTGCATAGGGCTGTCCATCCACATAGGACTGCAGTCTTGGCTTCTTACTGTTTGGATCTTGCCCTTGCCCTTGAGATTGCCCTTCTCCCTGCCCCTGGCCAACAGCATACTCATCTGCGCTTCGTTTGTAACCCCCCGCAGTCATCCCCATGGGCATACCCATACCGCCTGGAGCCCCTAACAGCGAACCTCCTCCAGGTCCTCCGCGTAGTTCCTCTTGACCAGGAGGGCCTGAACCAGGACCGGCCCTTGAACCATTCAAAGCTACGGCCACGTGGTGGGCTAACGGGATAGACTGGCCAGTCGTTATCGTTCCACCCTGCACAACCACCACCCACATTAAAAATCAGTCACTTCTACTTGAAGTGCATGTTTGCAAATCACCAAGAGTTCCCTACAAAAAAAGTCCTCCAAAAAAAAGAGAATAATTCAGGTCTGAAGAAATAGGGCAACCTCGACATACTGGAAATGCAAAACCAAAATTCAATGAAGGCAGAAAGCGGACAAAGAGGGGTAGGAAGAGGCGAAGGGGGGAGATAGCTTGAAGACGGGTCAAAAACCGGAATAAGAGTCCAATAGGATCTCACCTCATTACCGGGTGCGTAGAAAACAATAGGTTCGGGGATATTAACAAAAAAAGACGCAGATAGAGGAAAGCCACACAGCAAAGAGAAGACGAGGACGTACTTACCAGCACATGTAGAGAACCTAAGTCCACTATGGACCCAACACACCTGAAGCGCACTGCAGACTCAATCTTAAATGAAAATGAAAAAGATGAGAGCATACGGTGGAACCGGTGAACCATTCGAATCTTTTTTCGAATGGGGCAGAGGGCTCGTAGTACCTTTACAGCAGAGAGAAAATGAAAGTATCTCATACGATAGAGGAAAGCTACACAGCAAAGAGAAGACGGAAGTAGTTCATATCAAAGACGAAGGATAAAGGGAATCCACACAGCAAAGAGAAGATGGAAGCTCCACATCATTACATAAACGTCAAATTCTTATTACGTTTTTATGACATGATTTCTGATAGATTAGTACAGGACTGTTAGCACCAGTACATGAAAAAAAAAAAAAAAAAAAAAAGAGTTCAGAACCCGATTGAGTCTCTCCCAAAATTTCTGAGGCTCGCGCGACGTCCAAACAATAAATCGACGGCGAGCGGCCTCCGACTGGGGCAAGCGGCCGATGGGTGGCATGTACTGGTGGTTTAACATGATTGTCGCAGAGTTCTTACAGGTTTTGAGGATTTCAAGAGTGTCGTAGAATATCCGCAATACTGTTTGTAGTAATCCCGTAATAATAATTTGTAGCAATCATGATTACCCCTATTAGTACAAAACATACATAAGTTCCCAGGTGGTGTCTAAAACACGAGGAAACAGGTACAAAGAACGAAAGCAGAACGAAGTAAGGCCTGTAGCAGAATGTACGACAACGAAAATGAGCCAGCCTCTCAGGGACAGATGATAGAAGTAACGCTAACATAACTGAGTTCAGCGGCAAAAGAACGACCCACGGTTAAGCAAAGTACAGCAAACTTTCGAGAAGAGGGAAGGGCTGCGTACAGGTGAAAACAGATAAAGGTTTGTGAGGGTCAAAGTAGACAGGTATGAAGAGGGATAAAGGTTTCTGAGGGTCAAAGTAGACAGGTATGAAGAGGGATGAAGGTTTCTGAGGGTCAAAGTAGACAGGTATGAAAAGGGAGAGAACAAGAGATCACCAGGACGACGAACGTTTCATATGAACAAGAGAAACACAGGGACGTAAACAGAAACGTAGGAGAGAGATTAAGCTGCAAGTGTGACGCGCCCGATACAACAAGCGAACGATGCAGTCACTGAGTTGAGAGAAGACTACCCTAGTAGGCAAGTCAGCGAGAGAACAGGCACATTCAAGACGACGAAACAGAAACACGAGTGGTCCAAGCGCCAGAGCTGATGACAAGAGAACGGCGGAAAACAGAGGCGAAAGAATGGACGTACAGAACAGTGAAGGCAGACACGGCAAATGGCTAAACAGAGTGAAGAAGACGCAGGGAGCACAACAACCGTGTGGACAAAGACCGAGGAACGTGTGGACCCACCTACCAAAAAAAAACGAGAAGAAGGTTGCAGGAGGAAGACGCTATAGTATCGCATTGAGTTCAAAAGAAGAACGCTGAATAAATTTGGTCAACAGTTTCAATGTGCGGTGGCCCAACCATGACGGACAACAAAAAAAAGGGCAATGCCAAGACGCTATAGTATCGCATTGAGTTCAAAAGAAGCACACTGAAGAAATTTGGTCAACAGTTTCAATGCGCGGTGGCCCAACCATGACGGACAACAAAAAAAAGGGCAATGCCAATAAGCGGAATGAGAGACGGCGCCAGGGTAAGTAACGTATGCAGGATGGAGGACCAAACGATGATGAAGGGAGGGCAAGGCGCGAGGCCAGGGCACCAAAGACTTAAAGCGCAATCATGAGGGCATAAAAAAAGTGCACCGAAGAACGAGCTCGTCCGCCAGAGGGCGAACAGCCAGCGTGTGGGACGGCGGAGGGCAGATCGAACAAGTCAAAACGGCGGCGAGAGGAGAAGGGCCACAAGGACAGTTGAGGTTATAGGAGGATCGCGGCGACTGAACGATGAACGTGCAATCGTGATAAAACAGACACGACAATGGAACAGAGTGAAGAGCAAAGCATATATCCGTTAAAATTGGAACCATACAGAGAATATTAACATGGCCCCTGCGCAAGGATGACACGCATAAATCGAGAAATAGGCACTAAATTTATTTTTAAAAAAAGGGGAGAGCAAGGGACCAGCGAGGGAGGGAGATGGCCACGGTGAATGGTGCAAACCACGGATCGACGAGAACTGCCGGACAGAAAACTTACATATGAAGAAACACCATGCAGAAGAGAAAGGGAATGTGACATCGGAGACGCATTATGGGAGGGCAGACTAGATTGCAGCAGGAGAGAACTAACAGCGCAGAAGAAAAGCGATGGAGGGAAATGACTCATGCGAAAAACGACACATGGACCAACAGGAAAGGACAGGAGAAGTTCGGCGGCATATGGAGACCCGCACGACCCAGTAAATGGAGAGGCAAGTCACATCGAGAGCGAGGAATAGGAGATTAAAGGACGCGAAAATAGCATGGGAGGAGAAAAAAGGTCAATCAATGAGTAGCGAAGGTGATGTACGTGGAGAAATGTACAGCTAAGGAGGAGAGCAAGGGCCAGCGAAGTCAAAAGCTACTTGCGAGCTGCACAAAGCAGCTGGATGGAAGACGGCAGTCAACATAGAAGCCTCTACGAAAAGGGAGTATCCTTACGGGAGATCGTCCAAGAAATATTGACGTGAGAAGGCACTGGTCAAAGTGACAGGGCGTTGAAAAGGGCCAACAGGTCCTGGAAGCAGAGTCAGAGCGAGGAAGGGGATGGAGGGGCGACGGAAAGGAGCGCAGGCGACGGAGGGGACTGCAGACGCCGGACAATATCATGAAGAGGGCAAGCCAAAATGACGAAACGGTGGGGACAGGCGATGGAAGGGAGAGACGAGCAATGGAGAGGGGACAACGTTTTGGAGTGGGAAACAGGCGACGGAAGGGGAGAGTCAGTCGATGGAAGGGGTGCGGCAGGCGAGGGAAAGGGTAAAGCAGGCGAGGGAAAGGGTAAGGCAGGCAATGGAAAACGGGCAGGCGGTGGACAGTGGGACGCAGGAGATGGAGAGGGGACAGGCGATGAAGAGGAGACGGCGACGGAGAGGGGTAGATTTTTGGGGGGAGGATACTGCATGACGGGGACACGATCGAGGATGGGACAGGCGATTGTGGGAGCGTAGGTGATAGGAGGTCGCACACGTAATAGGAGGTCGCACAGGTGATAGAAGGTCGCACAGGCTACGGCGGCATGGGAAAAACGACGAAGAGTGGGACAGGCGACGGAGGAACTGCAGGAGGTGTAGAGAACAGGCTTAGGGCAGAAGAGGCGACGGAGGCGAGGGGAGGCAAAGAAGCCGGGGAGGGGTAACGGAGGCAATAATGGGGGATACAGAGTAAAGGGAAGGAGACGGCGATCGAGACGTTAAATGAAAGGAATAAGGGGTTAAGCAGTAAAGGGTGAACACGAAGGACAGGAAAAGACCGGCGAAAGGGACAAAAGGGCCCTAGGTAGACACAAGGCGGGAGAGGGGGAGGCCGCAGATGACAAAGGTGATGGAAAGGAAGCACGGTGACAGGGCGACGGATTAGACAAGAAACCTCAGGCAGACGAGCGATGGCGGCGTAGCCACGGCAGAGAGGACCGCGGATATCGATACTGTAGAAACACCGGAGAAAGACCGAGACACATGGTGCACCGCAGCACACGAGGAAAACATCTGCCATACGCAAACAACTTACGACGCGTCTGTGCATAGTAGACCGTACATCAGAACAAGACGCGGGAACTCGGCGCACACATGAGGCATAGACGACCAAACCCAGCCCATGTAGTAGAATGGCACACATTCAACACCACATCCTGATACTTTGACCAGTACACTAAGGATAAGGGAAAAGCCAAAATGCGGACAAGGTCAATGGCAAAGCCAAGACGCGCAAATGCGCCCGCCAAAAACTCACGGAAAGGAAGATAGATAACGTGATTTCAGGGGTCCTTTCGGACTTTGCTGGGGCAAACGTGAGACCTAAGCGCCAAATGACAGCACTACGCACTCGCGAGAAAAGTCGTTACAATTTTCTGATAATAAGAAATAGTTACAGAACAAAAAAAAAAAAAGAAGTCGTTACAGGACTGACCGCGGCAGAGGTCCAACAACGAATCCGGCGAAAAAAAGCCCAAGAAGCGTGCAAGTTGCCACAGCGGGAAACAACAAGATGAAAACAAAATACACACTGCACGAGCAAAGGAGAAACAAATAATTTGACCAAGTACAGACTGCACGAGGAAAAGAGAACCGAATAACTGATGCAAATACACCAACACTGCACGAGAAAGAAAAGCATATTGCCAATAACCCGGGGGGACGTTCTTATAGGAAGAGACGAGAACAAACCTAACTAGATAGCTCACCGAGACAACCGACAGACCAAGGGAGGAAGAAGACCATTGAGATACCCGCATAAGGATCATTGAAAAACCGAAATCGCCGAGTGATTACCATATGACCATGGTACTGACCATTCGGCCATCAGCATGTGAGCACGCGGTAGGAATAACAGCAGGATCTCATAAACCCGATACGTACGTCAACCCGTGAAAATTTGGTAAACAATTTTTGCAATAACAACTAAGACGAAGAAATACACTACACACACTTCAAGGGGCTCGCAACGACTTTTTCGGGGAGAGCCACCACAATGGTCGCAGCGCTCCACCCCCTACACCCCCTACCCGAACTTTTTTTCAATCCTAAAGAGGAAACCTTCATCATTTCCTGCCGCCATACCCTTCCTTCACTTAACATTCCCGTTATCTTTAATTACCTCACTTCATTTCACGCATTTTCTCCCTAGTATGTCAAAAGTGTCATACATGATTCCTCCGACGAAAATCCACCGAGAACACAATCCAGAACTGCACAACCCTTGATACCCGAATCAGATCCTAATGACATGAAACAGCTGCTCTCACGACGAGAATAGAGGCATATCCAAAATATGCGAGTTCTCTATCGAGTTTCAGTAATGACCAACGCGCGGTGCTCACCATTGAATGTCTGCATGTTACATAATAGCATAATAAAATAGCTGCTCTTTAAAAATAAAAATAAAAAAATAAAAAAATAAAAAGCTGCTCTCGTAACGACACTGGAAGCATGAACAACGAAACGAGCACTCTGAATACCTAACAAAGAACTAGGAAAGACGACGCGCGGTGAATACCATCGAATACGTAACAATCCAAAACCACACGGAACCACATCATTACTTGGAACTGTCGTTCCAGAGCTACTACAACGCTATTCAAATCCCTCCCTCCTTTCCCCGAATACAACGCCGCAGAACCATGAGCGTATGTAGACCGAAAGAGGGTTTGTATACGTTCACAATCACGGAGCATTATGTTCGGCAGAAGAAGAGTGCTACGCAGTAGTACTTCACTAAAACCCAATTTGAAACGCATTGATTTGAGTTGTGGGTACATTCAATTTCCCCCCCCCCATGACAATCGCCCATGATTTTCATGCTGCTTCGTTTTTCCTTCCGTTCCTCTCTACAATTACTTCCGTCTCCCAAGGGTCGTCATAAGGCCAGCCAACTCGTCATAAGGCCAGCCAACGTTGATCAAGAGGCCCCATTCCCAACAAATCCTTGTCCATACAGCAGCCACTTCGCGAGACAAACGTGGCATGCGCCACATGTCAGCGCCAAACACAACCAAAAAAGTACTACAAACCCTCTTTTAACTTGACGAAAAGCACAATGATCGGTTGGATATGAACGATGGAGAAAAGAACAATTGCGCAAGACCAGTCCGAGCCGAGACAAAAGGCGGCCCACTCCAAAGCACGTACGGTGACATGTTGACAACAGCGACCAAGAACCAGTGACAGAGGAGGAAGGAGAAAGAGGCGTAAGGAGGGACTTCCAAACGAGAATGATCGCGGAAGAAGGGCAAAACAGAAAAGAGCAGAACGACTGTATTGAGGAGATAATCAACGAATAGATAAGGAAAGCTTCGATCATCTTTCTGACCTGATTAGGAAACTGTTGTTGCGGCTGGACCTGAGAGGAGGAACTTTGGTGCGACGCATCGCTAGCAACAACAGCTGAAGAGCCATTCAGCACCCCGTTCCGATCCCCAAGGGAATGACCGTTACTCACCCCACAATGCGGTCCTCCGTTACTGCTGAAAGAGCCATTTTTGGAGGACGCCACCTTCGTTCCCGACGCTGTCCCTGAGCCTCCTCCCAAGCCGCCATCTGTCCCACCAGCTCCTCCCGCCGTCCCGCCAGTGGGCCTCTCGTATTGCGTCAAGTTCGTTTCCGGGTTCCAGTAATAGACGTACCCGGTGGTCCCATCCACCAATGCTCGCCATGGCGGCGGCAATGTGGGGTCGGGCGGAGCGTAGCGGGGCGCAGCTGCTGTGGCAACCATCCTCGCTGACAAATCAGCGCTGCCGCGTGGCTGCCCCCGCTCCTTACCGCTAGGTGATCAATGCTTAGTCAGCAACGCCGCAAGATCGAGTCCAAGCAACGACGCCAACGTACGACCTCTCTCTCTCTCTCTCTCTCTCTCTCTCTCTCTCTCTCTCTCTCTCTCTCTCTCTCAAAGAAGGGCACCGTACGATCTCTCTCTCTCTCTCTCTCTCTCTCTCTCTCTCTCTCTCTCTCTCTCTCTCTCTCTCTCCCTCCCCTTGTGTTCCCTTGGCTCTAGGCACGCACCCACGCGGACAAAGTAACTCGAGACGCGTGCAGTGAGTGACTCCGCACGCACGACAAGCGTACCTCTACACGCGCACACACGCAGAAAAAGACGACCACGAGCTGGGGTATATTACAGCGAAGGAGGAAGCGGTCAAGTGGGGAGAAAGAACGCAGCCGAAGTCTCACGAGGCAGCAAGGAGTTGCGACCTCCAGCCAGAAAGGCGGCCGCGCAACGAGGCCCCTTCCTTCCTCTTTACCTCGAGAAAGCCGTCCTATGAGGCCAGCTATCTCAATTCTACCTTACCCGCGCTTTCGACCTCCTGCAGCAACCGATCGGTCTCTAGGGACAAAGAACGAGCGGCTCCAGACAAGTCGTGGCTTTCCTCATGAAGACTGCATTCGCCAACCACGCCGGACCTCTTGGGACCGCTCATCGCCCCCTTGTATCCGCAACCGCTGAACTGACTCCTTCGCAGTGCGCTACGCATGCTCAAGCCATGCCCTCGCATGCCCTCCCAACCTTAGGAAAGGTGGCTTTCGCCCTTCAAATCAAATTACCAATCGACCTCCTTTCTCCGTACACTTCGGGAATTCGACGGGCGAGATCCCCTGGTTTCACACGAGCTGCTGGCCCACCAGATCTCGCCGCACTCATGTGGTCCTCTACTGTCACTCGCTGGCTTTACACCACACCGCGAAACCGGAATATCTTGCCGCGCGACGCTTCGCTGCCACACCGAACGCGCGTTGAGGACCTGTGTCATGCGTGATGGGCACTACCGGTAGGGGTCTTCATCCTCCACGCGTTGTCGCTCTTTCTTTGCCCTTTTTTTTGTCCATCACTCGTAAACGGAGGCATAGAACCCTCTCACAATTTCATCTTCACTACTACCTACCACTACTCCTAAGGCTATACAGGGGACCGCTGCAAGCAGTACTTGGCCCGGCTGCTTGGCCCGGCTATCAAGTCCAACCCGTGTGCCGATCCCTGCTGAGGCTCGAGGGCGTTCACTTTCAGGACCTACTCCCGAAAGAGAAGCAAGAAGAATGAGAAAATTGACACTCGCGTTCTCAAAAAAAAAAAAAAAAAAAAAAAGTTGT